ATTCAGATATCTTCTTTTCTATCATTTATTTAATGTATTGTTCTATTTTTTTATTTTTTTTTTGAAATATGCATATTTGTTGAATAACTGAAAAAATGGGGAGTTCATGAAAATGAAAACTTCTATTGACTGGCTGGAGGGAAAAAGAGGAGAAAAGAACATTGTCGGAATGTTCCGTATGAATCAGTACCTATGCAATTGCGAGAAACCAATGAACATGAACGAAAAACGATATTTCCTTCATTTTGAAGGAAATCTGGTAACCTTGGTGGCGAAGGGAATGTGAAGCCCCCCTACCCTCCCTCCTCACTCCTCAATTAATGTCTCTACCAAGTTTTGCAAAATTCATGGTTATGTAAGCAGCATTTCCAATAGTCATGAAAAAGTGGGTCAAAATCGTATTAAAACTTGTTATTTCGCTCTAATATCTTAAAAAAATGTAATCCTGTACAAAACTTACGTGAGGAAAGGGTAATTTACTCTGTAATGAGGTCGGAAAAGCTCTGCATTCAGAGAAAACAAGACGCGTGATGCGCGATGACCGATCCCTCCTGTTGACTCGACGCTCTCACATTGGAGTATTTCGCTTTGCTTGTTTTTATGTATTACTAATAAAAAGTAGAGCTTATATTACTGAGGAAAAGTATTTCGGCAGTACGGTAAATTCATTATTATTTTTCAAACTGTGCATCGTTGAGATTAAACCAAGACAAGCGACTGTTTCGTCGGTAACACCGTACTGTGCCGCCGCGCGCGTACCGGGCAAACAGCGCAGCGCGCGGATCTGCCTCAGAACGGCCGGCTCCCCGTCCCCCGATGGTTTTTCCTGTTTCACGCCTTAAATATCGATCCCACAGAAAAATTCATAAGAACCATTTTTGTTCCTAATTAAATTTCCTATCGTCCTGCGTAAGAAAAATTACGCTAACATTAGCCGTTCAGTAGTTATTCAAAATTCAAAATTTGGGGGCCCCCCTGCCCCCCCAGGGGGCTCAGATTTTTGGGGTCTATGTCTGAATCGAATGTCTATAGGGTAGAGATGAATCCCTGAAATTTTCATGCTTTCTTCCAGAAGTGCACGATTCTTATGATATTTTCCACTTATCGGCCCCACTATCCGTTGACGTCACTGGCGCACAATTATTCTCATTCACTCTTACGCAAAGAGACTAACGAGCACACCCCATATTTCTCACTTCCACATAGGTCTCTTTGGTAGAACTACGTCCATTTGAAACAAAGAACCCTTTTATTCGTCCAATACAGAATTCGGCAACGAGATTCTGCAGCCTAGATAGAACGACGCAGATGTAATTTCCTTGATGTTTGCTTTAATTACCATCTTGTCCTTGAGGCTTCCTCAATTTCAGCTGTGATATGAATATGATTTACACTGCTTTCGACAGTATAAAATTGAGAGAACAAAGGGTTTTTTTTTGTTCCCACTTGCTCTGAAGGAAGGAGTCTTTCAATCAGTTGATTGGTAGAGTTTTCCATAACATTCAGCTTTAATCAATGAGAACCAATGATCACGTAGCATGGTGTCAACGATCATGTTATACACACCATTCACCAGTCAAAAGCTAAATTTTCTGGAAAATTCAATGAGTGTCCAAGGTATCTTGGTCTCCATCAGTCAACTAATCAACTTGTGATTTGTTTGAGTCTAGGGCTCTGAAATCTCCATCGCTCTTTCACGATTTTCACACTCAATCCAGTGATTAAACAATTCACTCCTATAACTCATCAGCGATTTGTATGAGATGCATAGATAGGCTCCTCTGCTAACTTCGCACTTGCTTTGAGATGAGTAGACTTTCAATCACCATCGCCTCACGTTCATTGCATTATAATTACCGTGCACGGGAGGAATAAAATAGGCATAAATATGTAGGCCTTGGCCTATTCCATGCGATGCAGCTGGGAAGACATGATCATCATTTGAATGCTCGCTGAAGCTAACAAATAACAAGATTCTGTGATATCTTGGATGCGAATTTCTCAAATAGAAAATAAATCATACACTGGAAAAAAAAAACACATTGGATCTGGAGTCCAGACTCTTGACAACATTGACAAGAAAAAATACTCTTGATTCAATCAGATTTAAGCTTAAATCAAAAGGAAATCCGCTCAAATTAAGAGGCTTGGTTCTTGATTTAAGCAAAAATCCGATTGAACAAGAGTATTTTTTCTTGTCGATGTTTTTAAGAGTCTGGACTCTAGATCCAATGTGTTTTTTTCCAGTGTACTGTGAATTTAGTAGTCATTCCTTCTTATCCGGGTTTCGTAAGCTAATTTTGCACAAAACTTGACAACGGTGTAATAATTGTAGATTTTCCTTGGAGCGTTCGAAAATCTTTCTGTAGAATTTTATTTTCACCGAAGTAAATTTTATATATCCATAAAAGTTGCGCCTACAACGCACTCTGGCATTCTGCGACACCCGAACGCCACACGTGCCTATCTTCCCAGAGGTTATCGAGAAACTGACACTGCAACGTCTCTTCGTCAACGCCCTTTACGGGACGTCTCGAGTAAATTTTATGATTTGTTTAATGTTCAGTTGCTTGTGGGTTACATTGACAGGTAGGAAGAAAGGAATAACAAACGTTGGAATTTAATGCTAGAACTGAGGGCACGATCGAAATGAGTGCTTCCGAGAAACTGCTAACCCTTCTCCCTTAAGATAAACCGATGCTCTTTCTACTGCATGTTTGCTCATTCATCTCGGAGCGTTTTCCACGATCTCGCGATGCCTTTAATGATGCAATTGTTCCTGCGGAGAATGCTGATCAAAGAGGTTCGCATTTCATCTTGAATTTTTTAAGCGCCCTTAGCAGTTTTATGATTTGATTTACCTTCAATTTCACTTCTGAAATATTATTTTCTTTCCCCCTCGCGTTTCTCCAGCCGGCGGCGAAACTTCATTTTGGGTCAGGTTTCAGGTAAATTGCTTTTTTCGAATACACCTAATTCCATTTTCTCGTTCGATGCCACCCATTTGAGAATTTTGTTTCCTCTCTTGTTCTTGCCCGAAGAATCATGCAGTTTTTCGGAGCCTTGCCAAACTGGTAGCGTAGAATCTTTAAATGAGTAGCTGTTTTCAGGGCTGTAAAGTGTTTCAAACGGGCATCAGTTATTTTAAAAAGTAATAGATGAACCATTTTTTATTATATTCGACTAAGCACGGGAAGATGGATCTTAGCACTCAATTTTCTGATCCCCTAAGTTCCCATTTATTGTCACAGTTCGTTCTACCGTTCTATCGGAGCCAATGTTCATTAAGTTGGCAGCAATCGATAGGTGATAGTCCCTATATGAGTCCGCTTTATTCAAATCTCTGGGAAAATGCGCTGGCTTTTCTTATCTTAAGTGATAAATTTATGAATTCTCCCATTTAAACAATGTGAATATTTATTTTTGGTCACAGTTCGTTCCGAGAAACCAGGCCGATTTTCATGATTTTCCGGCTGTCGATGATAGGTAGTCCGTAGATGAGTCCGCTCTATTTAGATCAACCAATAGGGGCGGCAAAGTGCGCCTTAGAAGGCGCGAGAGTGCTTCTGGGACTGAAGTCGCATAGTTAGGGGGTACAATCCCCCCCTCCAATGTTAAATCTATGGATTCTGGGATGTTCAAAATTACCAAAGGTCACCGTGAAAACAAGTGGGTTGGAATCTTGGAAACAGAATTTCCCTTTAATCAGTTTCCGGCGCCAAAATGACGATAAGCACATGCAGTGGCGTGGGGTGCTTTGCGAAACATCGATTGATTTGCCTTTGAACCGGATCAAACCTACGAGAAAGGATCAGTAAGCTGGGTGTTCATAATCGATTCCTTACCATAGCCTCAAATGGGAACATATCTGACTGACTTAACTAAAAGAAAAGTAACCGCAAACGCGGAAATTTCTAAGTGTGTATTTACGTTAATATTGGACGGAAAAATCCAGAGTTTTGACACGATTCATTATTTTTGAACTAATGTATAAGCTTAAACCATCAAAGTACGATTCTGTTGATACTACCGCAACTGCACAGTGAAATATTCCTGTGTTTAGTGTTACTATGTGTTACTTTTTTTTTGTCGGATGAACTCAAAGGACTTGGTTGCTCAACTCAATTTTGTGTTAAACCGTAGGTAGCTTTAAGACATTGGGGCATGAAGAAAGTGTGCTGCGAAACTTATGTACTCTTGTGTTCCCTCCGTGCTCAAAGGTTGCGACTTGTGAGTGACTGGCGCATTGGATTACCACAGATGGTATTTTGGTTCGATCTTAGCGGCTTGCGCCTAGTTTTTAACGAGGTGGCAGATTTTCATCACGAAGATTTGGTCACTTTTGAACAACCCAAAAATGTGTTCAATTTGACACCGGGAAAACTAACACTCAGAAAAATTAGCTTGTATTACTTCGTGCTTTACTTCCAATATTGACACACAATTTCGGCTCCTTTTTCTTACCGTGTGGCATAAAAAGGACCGCATTTAGCAAAAAGGAACCAAACCATATCAGCTGTATTGCCAATTTTAACTGAAAAATTAATTTTACGCAAGAGAACTTGTGTGCGGATTCTTCTGAAAATTTTAAAAAGCCTCCTACGATGCATAAATTTCACTGTAATTTTCCCAAAAATTCGCACAACCATTTTGATGCAAAACATTCGATTACCCGATTAAATTTGGTAGTAACGGGAGTGCCTTGGTTCCTCTCTGCTTAACGTGGCCCAAGGATCAACCAACCACAGCTCACTCGTGATTTTATGCACTGGAGAAAAAAACTCCAACCGTGGAAGCCGTACTTACGAGCTAAATGTATATAGACATGCCGTCCGCGTTCCGGGCTCAGGGGCCGAAAATTCCAGATGTAGCACTCGGAAAAATCGAAGCTACGGCTACAGCACCCGGTAATTTTGGCGTATGAGCCCGGAACGGACGGTATGTCTATGTAGCCCGTAACTTTTTTTTTTCAGTAAGATTTTGAAATTTTAATTACTTACTCGAATTAGTAGCGTCCACCTGAGGGCGCCGCGGCACTACTCCAAGAACCGAAATCTCTGCAACACTTCACCGAGACTGAAACTACTGAATCGCGACCGGATGGATCTTGAACTTGGTCTTGAAACGGTTGAGTTGCTCCTGTCGGGTCGGCGGTATCTGTGGCACTCGCGTTTTCATCGGCCGCTGGGCGGAAAATCAGCGGCGAACCGGAATTTCACCGCCTGATCGCGGTCGTGAGTCACTGAGTCATGGGATTCTGCGCCGGGCGCGGGAGGACTGGAAGCGAGTCGTGTCGTGGGTGAGGATAACTCCGTCTTCTTCGTCGGCGTCGCGTCGGTGGGTCATCGTGGCATTGCCGTTGCCTTGAGCGTCCCGCGCCGCTTCCATCAATTACTACGCTCGTTCCTCGCTACGGCAGCCGACTATTATTCTAATTACCCCTCTCCGTGTAATTGTTGCCACATGGCAGGTGTAGCCAATAGAATTCCCACTTGTAATCAAGAGGCAAATCGTGAATTATCCCGTCGATTAGCATCGTGGTAACAGATGAAGCTTTTGATTTAACCCTCTGTGGAGTTTGGCCACGGGGGAAAAACGTTAGTACACAATCCCAACTGGACCAAGTTTATCGGAAAGGAACCAACCCAAATTTTCGAAAAAAATTAGTTAAGAATGTTTTTGAGTTCCGCTAGCCGTATTTTTTCATGCCGAAAACTGAAAATCGAAAGGTCCCGCCAATAGAATTCCCACCTGCAATCAAGAGACAAATCGTATCCTGTCGATTAGCAGCATGGTAACAGATGAAGCTTTTGATGTAACCCTCTGTGGAGTTTGGCCACGGGGATAATACGTTAGGTACACAATCCCAACTGGACCGAGTTTATCGGAAAGGAGCCAACCCAAATTTTTGAAAAAATTTAGTTAAGAATGTTTTTGAGTTCCGCTAGGCGTATTTTACTCCTGCCGAAAACTGAAAATCGAAAAACAGAAATTATTTTGAGGAAAGAGGGGTTGAAGTTTATCTTCTACAGTAAGCCTTATGCAGGAATAAAACGTTAAGCCTTTTTTCCTCAGTTTCAGCTTAATGGTAGTTGGCTCCTCCCTGATAAACTCGGTCCAATTATATGCTCTTGGCTGATTTTGGCGCCAGTTATGAGAGTAGCTGGACTTACTAGAGGTACGCCGTACCTAGGTACCAGGTAAACGCCTGTAGGCTTATACGGCGTTCTTCCTTAGCAGGACACTGGAAGTTCCTTTTTTCAAAGATATTTTTAAACTTATGTAGGTGTTGTTACTAGTGAATACAGTCTCATACAGGGACGGATTTACCTTTTTAGCGCTCCCAGGCAAATCTCACAGTCGCGCCCCTCACAGAATGGACGACCGCGTGGGGCCCGTGGAGGGTCGGGGGGACATCCCCCATCAGCCAAAAGGGGGGTCCGGGGGTCCTCCTCCGGAAAATGTTTGAAATCGGGTATTTGAATAACGCAATTTAAAGCTACTTTTTAGTTATTTCAGAGAAAACTTTGGTGACTCAAAAGCCTCTTGTGCTAAATTATTTTTCAAAAGGTATAGGGAATTAAATCATAGCGAAATTAAACAAAGGCGACAAAAAGTTGAAAAAAGTGAAAAACAAAGTCGAGACATCGAGACGAGACACGCAATGCAGAGGGGGCGTGGGTTTTACGGACCTGATCAGTAGACAAGGACAGATTCACAGATATTTTTCTTTTCGCGCGCCTCTCTCTTCGTCCTAAAATTTTTTTACCGATTTCAATTCTACAACCCTTAAAAAAGCATGCACGTGTCTCAAAATTTTGCGCCCCTCAAAACTTCGCGCCCCTAGGCAGCTGCCTAGGTCTGCCTTGTGGGAAATCCGCCCCTGCAGTCATACCTCCAAAGCCGTTTTCACACGCTCAAAGTGGCAGCTCGAAAAAAGGAATCAATGACCCAAGTCCATGAGACAGCTCGGAGAGGCATCGATTACCCCCGTGGAGACTTCCACTTTGATCTCGTGAATATGGTTTTATGATGCATTCAAGCAAATTAAAACAAAGCCCTGCCGTTTTATCGAGGAGAGCAGTGAGCTTGAAACTGACGTTTTGAGAAAATGGGTTTGGCACTGTTTGGCTAGAAATTTTACTGAGGGAGTCCTCAATTTTTCATAAAATTTTCAGAATCATTCCAAAGCTGTTATTAATCGTGGTAGAAAATTGACGAACTTTATCACAATTATCTTCAAATTTTCGGGCATGATTTCGATTTAAGACACGCTTTAAAAATGCATACCGAAGATTACAATTGAAATATAAAACTAACAAGCGCGATTAATTTACTAAAGTCGATGTAGATATAATTGGACCGCGTTAAACAGAAAGGAACCAAGCCACATCAGCTGTTGCCAAATTTAATTGGGCAATTTAATTTTTTACCCAAGAATGGTTTTGCGGATTTTTTTGCAAATTTCAGAGAAGTTCCTGCGTAGTACGAAGCAAATTCCTCAAAAATGTCAAAGGAATCCGCCAAAACGCTCTCTTGTAAAAAATTAAATTGCTCTATTAAATTTGGCAATAGCTGATGTGGCTTGGTTCCTTTCTGCTTTAAGCAGTCCAATTTTGAGTAGATGTGGCCAAATGTTTGAGATCTGATTTGTGCGAAAATGATTTTGTGCGGAAACGATAATCGAAAAAATTACTAAAAATGTACTTTGTTCGGGATATTCCGCCAGCGCAAGGCTCTCAAAGTGGAGGAACCTAATTGAGGTACCTTCCGAGGATGGGGAGCGGGGGTCGATTATTGTCATCGCCTCGTGGGTGAATTTACCGGGCGATTAGTGGTGAGCGTCGGGGTCTCAGCGATCAGCGTTGTGCGTACGTTGATTTATTCGTCGGGGCAGCGGCGGCGTCGCGGGGGTCACCGCGCCGCGGGTCAAGATTGTATCGGCCTCCTCTCGGGGAGCTTTGCGTGGAAGCTCGTTGCCTCGCATCACGCGCTTCCATGTTTTCACTGTTATGACGCACCACTATCGATGTTCGCTGATGAGTTACGGGCATTAGACTCTTTGCAGCGTTGTCAACTAAATGGGTCAGGTGATGCCGCAGTCACACGCTTAATTTGGCAGCTGAATATGGAAGTCAACAGTCATCGCTCAACAGCTGAAATTTCGCAAATTCGAGTTACTTTCATTCAAATGTGTATCAAATCTATAATAGTTCAGACAAATCCGACATTATCCGATGGTCGCTGGGAATCGTTGCTGAATTTTGCGCAACACGCGCAAAATTCAGGCATCGGGCCGATGACTTCCACATTCAAGCCACATTCAGCTCCCATATTCAGCGTGTGATTGCGGCATCAGAGACAAGACTGCCGTAACAGCGAAGAAATCAGTAAGTACAGAAATGAAGTTTTGAGGAAACGGGCTCAGAAGCTTCTGACCGGAAAATTTCATTGAAAGAAGCCTCCGTTCTTTGTAAAATTGCCACACTAATCGTTCGAAAGACTCCTAGAAATCGTCTGGATGATTAAAAATCGACTGATTTTATTCCAGTTACATAAAAAGAGTATTTTTCATTTTCATGCTTGGTTATTGATAGACAGGGCAGCCGTAATAAAAGTGCTATCTTCTGCATGCTTTTGTGGTTGCGTTTAAGACCCACAAGAAACACATTTTCAGGTTAGAAATTGGCAGTGAAGGGCTCAAAAATCACGATGAGCGCATCGGGAAAGTCTGAAATACCCACACTTCTAACTTATTCACAATCTGCGTGAAGAATATGCTTTTTTTCAAGTCTTTCGCCTCCAAAACGATTCCACGACACAGCTGAACATTTTGCAAGAGGATTCGTTTCATTCAACCCTTGCGCACTAGGATGCTACGCAATTTATAGGTATACAACATGGCTGACGCTTCCGCATCCAAGTCGTGAGGAAGCACTATAGGGGGTTTTTCAACGCAAGGAAAATATAAATAGAAACACTCCGGCTGATGAAATCCCGTCTCGTCATGTGTGTCTTGGTGGGTCGGCCATGTTGAATATTGCGTAACATCCTGGTGTGCAACGGGTTGGATGGGACGACTAATTTCCCACTCAATTTCTCACCTGAATTTTTCAAGCCGCTTTAGAAGTATATTCGGAATTTTCCCCAGTTGCATTCTTTTGGCACCATGCGTTTTGGTTAGGTACAGGTCGTGTTAGAATCGGGGACCTAGAAAACCCCATGAATTTTAACCTTAAAAATGGAATTTTTGCGCGAAATTTGAGAAAAAATTTGTTACGGTTCTTTAAAAACAATATCTATATGATGATTACTCCCTGAATTGGATTTTGGAAAAAATTTTTCCACCAGTTTAAATTGCTCCTTTTCGCACGGCGTGGTTTTCGTTCTACCTGCACTTTTCGGCACGGAGATAGTATAAACCTTTTACCAAATTGACAACACTGCTCCTTTGGCTGTTGAGAGGGTGTTTCTTGATGCACGATTAAGCCGCGCGGCGTTGATTTAATTACTTTTTAAGATTGTCATCGCCGTAATTTGTGTGTTACATCCGCTCCTAGCCTTCCCTGACGCGGAGCCAAGGTAGTTAGGGCGGAATTGAAGGGTCATGGGGTGAGGTTGAGGAAGGAGGCCATTTCTGCCATGCTAAGGAAAAACACCGTATGAATCTTGTTATGTTGCCAAATTTCCTCCGATGAAATACGAACTCATAGGAAAAGTTGTAAATATTTTCCTTTACATTTTTCGGACTATTTTGTTCACAATTTTATCTAAAATATCTGGAAATTTCAAGGAAATGTATGGATAAATTTCTTCAAAAATATATGTTTTATCCGGCGAAATTTGACAACGCTCGAATGTTCATACGGCGTTCTTCCTTAGCACGGTAGTTGCCTTTGAGAGCTGGGTTGATTCCTTGCATGCACCAACATTGAGCCTAGTAAGTCTGGTTATGATAATGGACTTCAAACATGTTTTGGCGCGATATGCACTGTTCAGAAACACTAGCATGAACATGATTTTCATCGGGGTGGAGTGAAAGTTCTAAATATCTAAACGGGCAGCCATCATATGATTCAATTTTTTCAAAAAAATGTTCTCACTTTATTTTATGTGATTCAATAGTCCTAAATGATGTAAGATTTGTGCATCCATTTAAAGCCTTTAGTGAAAAATTGGCTCCTTACAAGCATCAGTTGTCCATAAACTACCCGAGAGGCTCAGCAGAACGACGATTGGACGTATTTATATTAAAAGGAACTATGTGCATAGAGTTTGCGTGGGACATAGTTCCTTTTAGCATAAATACGTCCAATTTTGCTGTATGGTTGGAATTTAATGCAATGAAA